AGTGAATGAATGAATTACTGTTATGAACAACATTAATGCCGTTTAAATGACATCAAACCAATAATAATATTGATAGATTACAGCTGAATCGCATCAACATAAAATAAGCTGAATGTTAGAAGAATTAGGAAAGATAATATTACAAATTCATGAGTTTACAGTTTCTACTGAAGGCTGGCCAGGGCAATAGTAGGGTCTGGAATTGCTTCTTTTGAACACAGAGCACTGGTTGTTTGAGGCGAATCGCAATAGCCTCTGCTATTTGGAGCATGCGGTTTTTCGGTGATTTTGGTAATTTATTGGGCACCCGGTAGATGAAAGAGGAGGATTCTTTGACACTGGCTGTCTTTGTGGCCAGTTTGCATCAGATGGTCCATTATCGAATCGTTAATGGTTTTCACTACACCTTTACTTAGCCATAGTGGGATATGTTCTCGAGCGTGCACAAAAAGTCAAGTTCCTAGAGCAACGGCCAACATAACTTGCTCCACAAGCAGCGCAGTTGAATTGGTAGAAACGATTTGAAGTGGCTAGCCTAGGTACTTCATCTTTCAGTCGAGGCAGCACCATCAGTCGTGTAGAGAATGATACGTGTAGTCGCTAGCATTGAAAAGTTCTTTGAACTCATTTTCGTAATTTCTTCGCAATTATCTCACTTGGTATATCGCCCTTGAATTGCAGCCGAATATAAGGTGGCTTCTTGTTTATAGATAGTGAGTAGTCCTTTACCACTTTCTTTGTCATGTGTTTCTTGATAAATTTTTCGGAATAACAATTTTTTGATCAAAGTATCGTATAAAATGCTGAGTTCATCTTCAATTTCTTCTTCTGGGCATATAGCTCTAACTCTGTGGCTGAGTTAGGGTCTTCACTAAATTTTTTTTGTACTTGATGGGAATGAAGCTGTGGAAGTGTGTATATTGTCCTGTCCAAGTACTTCTTTTTCTATGTAAATTTCTTTTTATTCTACCATCTGGTTTTCTTGTAAATGATAATACAGATTATCAAATTATTTGAAGATTTTTTGCACAAAGAGTAAATATCTTACAATGTAACTCATTGAAAATTCTGTATGGTGTGTATAAATGCATCTTTCAGAATAAGGCCATCATTATTATTAGTAGTAGTGCTAAGTTGGGTCAAAGTCTTTGTGTCATCAATGGTTCGCCCTTAACACTTCTTTCATTTGAAACGTCTTCTCTCGGATAATGTGATGGTCAATTTAACAAAATAATCTTCTTAGTGTAAGGCGTATGTCTGTCTTTTGGTTACCACTTAAAGCAACAATAAGAATCACAACATAATGGCAAAGAAAGACATAAGACATAAGAAGTCATTGATTGACGCTGATGCCTCTAAATCATTTCATCATGTTTTTTCTGACTAAATTCAGTCATGTTTTCATCTCAGTGTATTTTCAGTTTATACAGGATTAACATTAGTCGAAAAACATGTTTACTTTTACATCACAGCAGGAGGGAGGTGTTATTTCCCCCATTTTTGCTTTACATTACATAGAAGATGAATCGACATGAGATTATTCACCTATTCCCTGAAGAAATATCCATACATTCCTAGGCATACTAGTACGTACAATATATCCTTAGGTAAGAGATTTACTTATATCCATATGGCATGACATTGTTTGAAACTAGTTTTTTAAAATGCAAGCGAAAGATTTAACTCAGGAATGTATGTAACAAAATAATTATCTAAGAAATGCTTTCTGAATGATCAAACTACAATATTAATGCGTATTTGGATGCTTCAACCAACTTTGTAATTATTATCCTTCTTGCACGTTTCTCGACTTCACTTCTGTCTTTTGCTAAATAAGTTCTCCATGAGACAAACTAAAACTTGGGTCACACACTGATTGGATTCCTATTTCTCAAAAAGAGTGCAGTACACTGTAAAGAAAGGTAAATCCTCCTTTACTGTCCTCACTGAAGCTGGTGTCCCCCAAGGTGCTGAATTCTCCTCACTTCTCTTTTCTTTCTTTCTTTCTAAATAACTTACCATCTTCAAATGACATTACTTTTGTTAAATATGCTGACGACCTGACCGTATCTTTGCCTGTCAAATGTCAAAGTGACTGCTCTAATTAAATGGCTTTTTATAAGAAACCAGCCAGTTGTCCAAGGAAAACGGTCTAACCTTAAATTTTATTTTATTTTTTTATTTTTGATTACAGCTTGATTCCACACTGTATTTTTATGCAAGTATGGAATTTTCAGCATGTGATATTGGTAGCCCAAATTTTGCAGGCCGACCATAGATATCAGGTGTGGGTCGGCAGGGGATCGAACCTCGGACCATGTTCATGATCGGCGAGAGTCCTAACCACTGTGCCACCGACGCAGTCAATTTCACCTTCAGGCATAAACCTGATCTAAACAAATTGGTTAGCACTCACGAGGTGTGCAACATAGATGGTACTAAAATAGAGACCAAGTCGGAATCATTCTATCCGCTGATCTTTCCCGGTCGTCTCAGATCATGATTATTTATAAGAAAATATTCCGTCTTTTCTTTCTATATCAAGAAGTTAAGACATTCTGGAATATTCCAATCCTTACTATTACGATTCGTTAACTGTTGCATCCTGCCTATTATTCTCTATTGTTCCTCCTTAGTTTTTCCTAGGCTACCGAAGAAAGACTATATCTTATTACTCAGGATATTAAAGGTTGTCTGCAGGGTAAGCAACGTGCCACTAAAACACCTTATTAATATTTTGGTCGACAGGCACTTGGACTTATGTGAAAAATGGGCTTAATCCATTCTATCTATCTAACTCTCACCACCCTCTTCATTCACAACTCCCCCCTTGTATCTCATCAGGGAAAACCAGGAGCCTATATAGAAAAGAATATGCTCATACTAGTAAGTACAAAAACCCAACTCAACCATAACCTACTTAGCTCGTGTTCTGTGCGATACAGAAAGCATTAGGCGTGATACCTATAACCTATTAAATAGTCAGTAGAACAAGTGGATCTCGTCTTTCCAATTCATATCATTTATAGGTACAACGTTTTCTTTCTTTTCTCTACTTGAAACATTCTTCTTCATCCCTTCAAACTCTGTATATCTCGACCTTTTTGATACCACTTACACCAGTAAATATGCTAGCATCTACTTTTCTAACACCTTCAAACATTCTTTTCATTTTTGGCTTTGCTACCGATATGCTCATATATTGTTGCCAAAACTAACTGAGATTACGCTTAATCTATGTAGAATTTTATTTATTGTTAATGTACTAACTGTATGCAATACTATATTTAGTGAAATGTTGAGAATTCCATTCTGTATCAGAAGTACTGTTTTGGAATAAAGCATATTATTATTATTTCTCCTGGACTCCATATCACTATCCTGACGTTTACATATCATTTGATGACTATATCCTTACTATTTGTCGTTCTTCCTGTTTAACCTGTAATTTTAATGCTTCCCTTTCTGGTTGTGTGATTTCGACTTTGTGTTGTTTTACGATTGTGATTTTTTTTTGAGTGAGTTCAGATCATTGTGATTTTTTAACTGTCTGTGAGAACTGTTTGCTGTGTTATTCCTGTGAACAGAGGTTTTGATCCCACCTTGTTGGGAATATTCTTTTTTCTGATTCTGAGGATAAATAACTTCTTTGTATAGTACTTATTCTGTATCCCAGATACTATTGGATCTGTATAGCTGGCTAACAGCATTGTTGAGGTAATTTCGGGTGTCATATAGTACCATATATCTTTTATTGTGAATAACTGTGATTTTGCTTTCGATGTGAGCATATTGTAACTGTGAGTACTTCAGAAGGCTTATTTCAGCTAAACTGAAAGGCACATACTTCGTTTCCTCACTTTCAGACCGTAGGAAGTTCCAATATACCAGCTGCATTCCAACAAATGAAAAATGAGTTTTGTTTCCGATTTGGGATCTGAGTTAAATCCCATGGGGTCAGCATTCCTTTATTCTAGATAATATCCAATAAGATTTAATGGAGTGGATTTGTAACTCAGGTGGTTGTGTTCTCTGAGCTGCATGGTTTATTTGCGAAGCTTTTGTTGCCCCAGTAGGGCAAGTACATCAAATTATCAGATTATAAGCCTAAAATCTTCTGGTTATACCTCAGATACCTTGAAACCTAATACTAAGATGAACTTCACAATAATAGGTATTAATGCAAACTGATGAAGTACGAGTCATTCAAAATTAGGAAATATGTTTACCCTGAAGTTTGGGGTTCATCAGTTGGCCAGTTTTTTTGTAAATTTTGTGATTTTTACACCTGTCGGAATTCGGTATAACCATAATTAGCAACGTGTTCCATCTCATTTAATGAAAATGCTTTAGAAACGTTCAGTATTTGTCTAATCACTATTTTCTATTGGGTAAACTGGTTTTGGTAGAAGGGCGAGGACAATCATCAGGAAGCCTATGACTTGAGTTTTGTGCTTACTGGAACTTATTTCCCTTGCTAGATTTAGACCTAAGTCACCTTCTGCTAAACGTCAGAGACGATACCACTGAGCTATTCGACCTCCTCGTGATTGACTTCCTGTAGGACTGTAATGGATACTTTGATTGGAAATTAGGCAGTAACTAACTGGTGCAGACTGAATTCTATCAGTCCAGTTTACAATGTGACCACGATGCTACGCACCTTGCCATGATAGTGCACTCCACCTGCAGCCATCACCAAGGACTAGAAGTTTTCCTCAAATGCCGAAAGTATTTCATCAATGTCTGTGTTGACCGCTGGTTGTAAATCTGCAAAGGAGGGAGTTTCGAACAACACACGTCGTTGCGTATAAAGCATTAGGGCGACTTCTTTTCTTACGAATTTAAAAGTTTTTGTTTTGCGTTGAAAGCCAAGCTTTGCAAAATGTTCTCATGGATTAAGGAAGCTAGGTCAGTTATATTAGAATTTGCAGAATATAATATTAAATAAAAAGTACAGGTCACGTAAGTAGAAAAAAAACAATAATTTAAACACTTACTGTTTCAGTTGTAATTAACAAGTTTGATTTAGGCAATGCTTCAACTTTCATCAGCGAACTTTCCATTATCACATTTTCTGTTGTAGTTTTATGAACACTTCCAGATGAGTTATGTTGAAACCAATTGATTATTGCTGGAGGATGAGACGATGTTGCTGTACATTCAAGGATTTGCTCACCATAGGTTTCTTGAATTCCATTCTGTGGGATTGTGATTAAACTGACAGCTGATGGACAAACTAAATGTTGACAATAAAAAAAAATACTTTTTATTAATTCAAAGTCTTTTTATTATGTCTATGCCACATATTACTAGGTGTACATAAATCTATTTGAATTGCATAAAACCAAATACTGCTGATCGACTCAGATGAGTAATTGTATAGCACCACTCATAAAAACCAGTAGTGCCTGCTAGCCGGATTATCGAAGGGATTTAAACATCAGGCGGCAGTTTCCCTCGTTTGCAGCTGAGTTCATGAGCAATGTACCCGATTTTGCTCAGCTCAGGGAATTGAATCAGTTTGATACATTTGGTTCCCTTGATAAATTTCGATAAAGAAAGGAAGACGAAATTCGCGGTATAAAATGATATCATTCTACTTCACAGGTTCTCATCAGCTGCTGTAAACTACCTGAAATTACAGTCGTTATATAGATGATAATAACATACTTTAATGTTTGAGTGGCAGTAGAGAAGAGATACTATAAAACTGACGCATCCAAAGTCCTTCAAAATATTAAATAGACAAAGGACAGCAAATCTACTACGATTAGCCGAAGCAATCGCAATAAAACGGTTTAAACCAGACTTATGCATACAGAAAGAGAGTGTGATTAACCACTCACTCCCTTGGTAACTGAATTTTGATTTTGATTACATTAATTAGTCCTCTAATTCAGTGATCTCAACTCACTGAACAAATCTTAATCTCACAAACTGTAACCGCTTTTATTTTTTTGAGTCGCTATAAGAACCTACAAGCTAACACTGTTCTGTTAATTAATTTTTTCTCTTTTCTGTCTTACCCCTTCCCCCCTCTTTCCAACTTCAAAAGCGTATAAATTGATGATGAAATCTTAAACTAAAAATTGTAATGCTTACATTTTGGATGCGTCAATTTTATAGTATCTCTTCTCTACTACCACTCAAACATTAAAGTATGTTATTATCATCTATATAACCTTTGTACTTTCAGGTAGTCTGCAGCTGATCGGAACCTGTGAAATAGAATGATGATATCATTTTATACTGAAAATTTCGTCTTCCTTTCTTTATCGAAATGAATCAATTTGAATCGACCGATGTCCTGCTATATCAACTTGGGTTAACTGATTACACTATGAATCAGATTCATAATTCACAAATTAGTTGGCAATTTGCACTGTACACTGTTCGACTGGGGGTAATCAAGATAGCAAATATATTAGTGTAGTTGTATAACACTCATATCAAACTGTGCTCATTTTTTCCATTGCTTTCGCGAAGCTGCTAACAGCCTGAAACCCTTTAAATCAATATAAATAGGGGAAACACCTGAAATACTTAAGCAACTGTTCAACTAGAGGTTCAGTTTATAATCCTCAAAGCTCCAGTGAATTAAGAGGAATGAATGTATTACAGTAAATATCCTAATTAATACAGATCTGGAAGCAGTCAGTAAAAACGCTGATAGTTACACTGTTTATATTAGGTGTTTAGTTATGTCTAACCTCCACTGTATTATAATTTAAAAATAAAATATAAAAATGAACAAATGGGTTCGCAATGAGATCACAGGTATCCCCAGTAGTAGCAGACATATTTAATAGATAGTTGGGAGCATACACCTTTTAAAACATTTAGTCTTTCTCCTATGCGATAGCTGAGCTATGTGCATGGCAAATAAACAGATCTTTAAGTTCTTCACACATAATACTCAACAGCCGACAGAATTCGATTCACTTTGCAGTTAGAACAAGATGAACAGGGTGACTTGACCATGCTATACTGAAAAATATAACGGAAATAAGATGTGTTGGGTAAGATCCCAGCATTTATAAGAAACCGACAAAATCTAACAAAACTTTTATTTTAATTCATCTCAATCACTCTATCAGAGACAAACTTTGTCGGATTTAGGATTCAATAGATTAGGTTAGGAGAAATAATACAATTTACCAAATACCATGTAATGACTGTGAGGTAAATTACACAGGTCCCATAAGTAGATCGCAGTCAATTGGATTATCGGAACATGAAAATGTAGCTAGACATGGAGTGATTCACCCTGCTAAATTTAGTAACTTATAAAAAGGATTGGCATTGGATTTACTTGCATGTAATAACAAAATAAGGTGGAAGAGAGAGTGATAGTATTAATAAGTAATATAGTTAGGTGGAGACTTAGAGGTTCATCGCTGAATCTTTGTTTATCGATTCAACACCGCACACGTGCAGTCGGGATGATTCAAAATCTATATTGGAGATATAAAGAGTGGCAACTAAAAATATGCGAGGAAAGGAAAGATAAATAATGCAAACTGTGAAGCCATGGGACCAAACTAATAAGATTATGAGCAATAAATTCTTCTCAAAACTTCATTCAGTTATTAATACTGCATCACTACTATAATACCCGTATTGACTGCTTCACTTATTTGAGAAGTTGCATCAGCCAGCACCAGCGGGTTGATTGCTGACGAAATCTCAGCACGGATACAGAAGGCTAGTTTGGCATATGCCAGTTAACGCCATCTCTGGCGTTAATGTGATATCTGACTGGCTGTCGACCAAAGGACGTGTTTACTGCTCAGCAGTTCGCTTCGTCCTCCTTTATGGCTGTGAGCGTGGCATGGCCATTGAGAGTGTAGGGAACGAAAAGGCTAGCTGTCTTTGATCACAGGTGCCTGCGTTCTGTCTCCCGTGTTCAATGGTATAATGAGGTGAGCAATACTGAGGTTAAGCACCGGTTGAGTGCTCGGTAAGGAGGGGAAATCAAAAGACGAGGCTGTGAAGTTACATCAACTGAGATGGTTAGAACATGTCTTACATATGCCCAGTCATCGCCTTCCTCGACGGGCAATGTTAGCTGACATAGGGTCAGGTTGGAAGAGAGCCAGCTAGTAGTGGTCAAACCAAAATTTAGCTTCATCAGTCAGTAAAATCCACAACAGTTAGTTTAAGCCACGTAGTGAGGTGCAGACTTCACTGAATAGTTGGGATCCTCGGGACAGTAGACACCAATGGTGGCTGGAGAAAATTGGTGCCATGCCTCAAAATCGTTCTCATTGGAACAGATAAATTGACTCTTTGTGGTTTATCATATCTGATAAAACTATATTGTTCTTCGATATTACTATTTTTTTGCCTCATATCTATGTTTACTGTCTCTATTATGCATTTCCTTTTGCTTTCTTCTCTTGCTTTGCGTGCTACGTGGAGTGGGGCGACTCGAACTGCTACACATCTGTGCAAAATTGTATGTTGAAACCGGACAGTCAGTCATACCCGTATTTTACTTTTACATTAACGAATATGAAGCAGTTTATGCTGTAATAAGGAATTAACCAGAGTTTATCGGTATTATGAGTTAGTAGTGCAGTGGAAGAGTGCACGCTAACCACTCCTCGCGTGGTCTGGGGTTCTACCCTGAACCGACGCACTCGTAAATTTCTGTCAGCTGGTAGAAATCCCGGGAAAGCAGGAAGGTTGGGTGCAAGACTAGCAACCATACTCCGTAAGAATGAAGCTACTGATGCTGAGAATTCAAAGATGAAGCTTGAAGCCTTATGTTCCACTCGGAACGCAAAGGAATAAATCATCTGTCTTATTGATATGATAGACAGTTCTAAGGTTCATAGAAGAAGAAAGAGTTCGAATTATTGCGGGTCAATAGATATGCAAAATAAAGGTGAATAGACAATTTAGATGGCTTAATAATTTCTTCAGGTCAAGAAATGAGGGCCAGCAGTCAGATATATAATGAGATGTAGCAACAAACTGATCCATTTTTCTGATTAGTTGTGAGATTTACAAGAATATATTTTAGTATACAGAGATTACATTGTACTTATCTGACAGTAGTGTCTTCCGGAAAACAAAGTTTTCTCTTCTAAGTTTGATTGATATTACTTGTATATCAAGTAATTATTATTATTATTCTATATACGACCGATGGTTATTCCTCAATTGAAAGATGAAGTACCTAGACTAGAATATCCATTTCAAATTATATCTACCAATTCAACTGCGCTTGTGCTGGAGCCAGTTATATTGTCCGCTGCTCTAGGGACTTGATTTTTCGTGCTCGCTGGGGTACATCTCCCAGTATGGCTAGGTAAAGGTGTAGTGAAAACCATTAACAGTTCCATATTGGACCATCTGGTACAAACCGGCCGGCCACGAAGACAGCCAGCGTTGAAGAATCCTTCTCTGTAATCTACTAGGTGCCTAATAAGTTGCCAAGCTCATCGAAGCACCGCATAATTTAAACAGCAGAGGCTATTGCAATTCGCTTCAAACAACCAGTTCTCTGTGTTCAAAAGAAGCAAGTTCAACCCCTACTATTATCCTGGTCTTCAGTAGAAACTATAAACTCATGATTTCATCATGAGCTGACATTAGGTAGAGAACCATTGGAAAACCAACTGAGAGTACTGGACAGCTGTTTCGTCAGACTAGTTTGGGACTCTTCATCAGTACGCCACACCCACCGGGATTCGAACCCAGGACCCTCTGGTTACAAGGCGAGCTCGTATACCATTAAGCCACTGGGACCTGATCCAATGGTTCTTGATTTCTAACTTCTGTCAATTCACGACGTATCACGACCGCTGGCCAATGTCTTAGGCGAGTATTTGTCCTTACACCTGACCCGCTGCACCCTACTGGCCACGACTTCTCACTAGAACCCCAAGTAACTACCTACCTGAATAAGGCCAGTCGCCAGGGAGCATCTCATTGGTATTCAAGTGTTGGTTTGTAGGGATATGATTGGTTTCAAGATTTTTTGATGAAATCCTGAAACCAATCAGATCCCTACAAACCAACACTTGAATATAAACTCATGAATTTGTAATATTATCTTTCTTAATTCTTCTAACATTCAGCTTATTTTATGTTGATGCGATTCAGCTGTAATCTATCAATATTATTATTGATTTGATGTCATTTAAACAGCATTAATGTTGTTCATAACACTAATTCATTCATTTATTCGCTGTTATGTATGCATATAACTGTGGAGCCTGATGATGAATTTATCGAAAAGAGTACTCTTCGTTCAGTATACATTCTTTTAAAAATTTTAGGGATTTGTTTGATTAGTTACAGGATTTCATCTTGAGCTGACATTGGTTAGAGAACCATCGGAAAAACAACAGGGATTACTGGACAGTTGTTTCGTCTTAGTTTGGGACTCTTCACAGTATGCACCCACCCTAGAAATCAGTACCTGAAAATCAGTGAGATGCTCACTAGTGACTGGCACTAATCAGGTAGGTAGTTACATGAGGCTCTAGTGGGAAGTCGTGGCCAGTAGGGTTCAGCAAGTTGGGTGGGAGGAAAAATACTCGCCAAAGACATTGGCCAGCAGTTGCGCTACGTCGTGAATTGGAAGAAGTTAGAATTCCCGAACTCGACATTGGATCGGATCCCAGTGACTTCATTGTCTGAGAGCTAGCTCATCTTATTACCAGGAGGTCCTGGACTCGAACCCTGTCAGCGGCTCAGTTCTATGAAGAGTCCCAAACTAGGACGAAACAGACATCTCTCTAATACCGCAAGGTGTTCCAATCGATGTTAACTCATTATGAAATCCTGTAACCAATTACATGTATATCCTGTGTTGATTGCTCTTGTAAACAATCCTATAGTTCTACCTAGAAAACAGTTAAATTTCCGCTACAAAAAATCTTTTCCACCACTTAATTGGCCTTGTTTCATGCTTATGTAAATCAATATTTTTGTTTATGTCAACTCCAACCTTATATCGACCGTTTACTCAAGTTTTCACAAGTAAAAACAGTTACAGGAATGCTGATACAGTTGAATGTATGCTGACATTCCAAAATTCAGTGACCGTATTTTGTCACCACAAATAAATGAACAAAATCACACTGACATAGGCTTACTATTCCGTAGCTGATCAACAGGGGGGGTGAAACATATTTTTCCGAAACACTGCCTATGAATTCGTCTATTCCTCGGGATTTTATCAGCCATTTACTATCCAAAATAATCTTATTATTATAATTCCTGAAAAGCAGTAAATCGAAGTTTTTCACCTTGTTGGGAAAATCAGTGAGTGGGTGCAAATGAGTCATTAGAAAAGCTTCTTAACTGACAGGTTTAATGAGATTTTACAGCTACAACACAAAAAATACACAACATGAATATGTTTTTAACATCACGAATAGGGAATATAGTTATCCCAATAAGTAAAGGCAATGTCATATGTGTTGCAAACTTAAACTTACAAAACACTTCAATGGATAAATAGACTGTTTTATGATAGTCATGTTGACGCTTATCGGTATAATTCCCTTCTTCATTCCATATCAAATGACAGAATACTCTGGCACCGTTAAACCATGGTCGTGCTATCAAACGTATCTCGCTGTATGCCATGTAGCCTTTGTTGTTAGGATCTTCTTTGGTATTTGAATAGGTATCAGACATTTCCATTTGAAAATCAGAATTTCTTTTAGGCTGAATAGTTGTTTGTTTTTCATTTGTTCCAGTTTGGTTGGCATAATTTCTTTTTGAGACAGCAGTAGCAGTTATATATTCCACAGCGGGTATAAGTTCCCATAGAATTTTAGCTGTTGGATTACTACCTTTAGAAGACTGACATGTGAACACTTTGGTACGATTTTCACTTACTGGACCGTGTGGTGATGCTGAGAGTATGGGTTGACCAGGTGGAACTGAAATATGAGTGAAATTAAACAAGTAAATAAAATGTCCATCATTTAGCCTTGGTTTAACGACTTAGTTGACAACACAAGAGAATACTAAGCACAGACACTTGCCAAGATCGATAGTGTAAGTCTTGTGTTTCAGTTAAACAAAATATTGTACTTGTTCATCTTTGTATTTTCAGTAGAACATCGACATCGGTCTAAGCTTCTTGTCAGTTACATATTAAGCGATTCATGACATGATTAGTGTTGCCAGCTTAAGTGTTTCCTCCAGTAGCCATAATGGTTTTTAATAATGAGTCAGTCAGACTGTATAAACTTTATTCGTATTTCTTCTACATAATACAAGTTAGAATATCACAAAGAAAGTGAGAAAAAGCCCATCTAGTTTCAACTTGATTACAAAGGTGAAAATATTACAGCAACTGTCAACAGAAGATTGAAGACTTCACTAGCCAAAGTCTATCCTGCAGCTAAGCTTGTCCCCTTTGGTGCAATCAAAAATTGATAGATATCCTTCTCATGTTAGCTCCAACTGTATACACAAATTTTCATGTACAGTTACATCGGAAGAACTGAAAGAAGGGCCTATTTACGATTTCTTGAACGTCTGCCAAAAAGCTTATGTCTAAAGGGAACAGATGCCTTAAATGGTGCCATCGCCAGGCATCTCCTTGACACAGGTCATGAAATGGACGTCGAAAAGTCGTTCAAAATTATCAATAGGCAAAAGAGCTCAACTTTCCTCAGGTTTGCTGAAGCGATCTCTATCAAGCGCCTGAAAACTGATTTATGCGTTCAGGTTCATTTGATTAAGTAATACTGGAAGTTTCCATTGTGTATGATCATTATTGTTCGGAATAGTGTTTAATATTATATATATATAGGGAAAACATTCTTTCAGACATCTATAAAAAACAAAAAATTGAGCTAAGAATATCCTTTTCGATAAATTCCTCTTCTGGATCTACAATTATATGCATATATATGTTTATATACATGGAATATTCTAGATTAGTAGCCAATGCCAATATTAGTGTTTTTTAGATAATATCGATTTGCAAAGTAAGTTACATAGGCCATAAAATTAAGCGTGTTTCTCGTCGAATTTCTGGACATCACCCAATGTGATTAAGTATAGGACAAACAAAATCTATTTGGAGAGCTATTCTATTTTACCTTGTGGTTACAGAACACAAAAATGATGTCAGCGAGGCTTTCAAAGTCATTCATCGCATTCCAACTAATCTTAATTTCGCCTTAAGAGTTCGTTTACTGATTATTGCTGAGGCCGTAAAGGTACACGTTAAGAAGCCTAATTTATGCGTCATAAAAGTGCCAGTTCAGACATTGTCCTTACCTTGGTCATCTAGGTTTGAATGATCCTGAAGTTTTGTGGAATCTCCCTAATTTTAGTTGATATTCTATTCGCTATTATATCCTTATCATTATTATTATAACTTATGCATCTTTAATGAACTGTGGTAATTCTATTGTGATCTTCCTTTACAAATCGATATGATTTAAAAAAACACTAATTTTGTTATTAACTACTAATCTAGAATATTCTATGTATATAAACATGTATATATATAATTGTAGATCCATAAGAGGAATTTATCGAAAAAGATATTCTTCGTTCAATTATTTTGTGTTTTGTATATATATATATATATTTACTGCATGCATATATTGATTGATTTTTATTTAAAAATGAACTCCGTGCAAGTATGGTAAAATCGTTTCTGTAGATTTTTGTAATAATGACTTTGGGCTGTAGGCAGCTGATGAGAGGCCAACGAAATAAACAATGTTGGTACCATTTTATTCTGTAAAAACCACTGTTGTTCTTGCTTTATTCAAATTTCTTAACGGGGTTAAATTGATGAAATATCACAAATTAGAAAACTGAATTAGGTAATTACCGTTAAATTCTTACACCAGTGCTTATTTAGTTTCCCGCTGAACCTCTCTTCTTATCCCATATTAGATAAGTTAATTATAAATATCACACAGTGATGACGTGGTATTAACAACTGGATTACGTTTACAGCATAAATTATTGTTCATAATCAAATCGATTTTAGACATACAGTCTCACACAGTTTGTGAAACCAAATGACTAATATAGAATTACATTCTTTGTATTGTCAAAGTTCTACACTTACATTCTCTTAATTATTGATCTAACTGGATAAGCTAGAGCTAGGCATACAAGGGAGAATTATTCAATCACTTTCATTGACATGGTAACAGCTCCTTTTTTATGCTACTAACTTGATTTTTGTCTGTTTCCTTGTTTGTCTATCTAATCCCTTATAACTTTTGTATTTCTCTGGGAATCTTACGTAATTCCGCGTTTTCCTGAGGTTGTATAGCCAAAGAAGAGAATAAATTCACTGCCAACAGGTGCTTTACTGAGCTACGTACTTTGTTATCAATTATTTGTCAGCGGAGATTATTCATGAATTGATTTATTTCAACTAAATAAACCAATAATTTCTTTTAGTTTAAAGTACCTGCTTGTATCCCCCTATCTTAGTTTGAAGGAGAACTGAAAAACAAAATTCTTACAAGAATCAGACATGCAAGTATATCCATAAAGTAATTCAAAATAATTCAGAAATACTAACTAAACCCCAAAGTCAGATGTAACTGTATTATTATTATCCTTCCTTGGCGTTCCGAGTGGTACATAGGGCTTCAGCAACACGTCTCCACTTCAGCTGAGTCCACGATTGACCAAACTCACCCATCTCTTCCTCATACGATCTTCTCCATGTCACCATCGCATCGACGACTCACTCGTCGCTTCCTACTGGTAATTCACTCGAGGGCGTGGTGGATGGTGTCATTCGACGGCTTCCTCAATGTATGCCCAATTCATCTCCACTTTCTCCTACATATTTGTTGAGTGATCGGCTCCCGCCTGTTGGTTTGTTACCATAGTTCCTTGTTACTTATTCTTTCTGGCCATTTGATCTTCAGTATGAATCCAGCGACGGCAGCTGGTGATGAAAGTCTGCAACAAGCTGTTGGAAATTTTGTTCATGATACGCCCGCTAAGTTTCTGACCCGTATGGAAGAACCAACTTCACATTGATGTTGAAAACCTGAATCTTGTACCTTATGCTGAATGCAGAAGATTTCCAAATTTCTTTGATGAAGGTGTATCTTGCCTTCCTAGTTCTGGCTGGCTTCGATATCTGCATCCGTTCCGAGTGCCTGTAGTCGAAACGATGCTTCTTAGATAAATGAATGAGGCAACCTCTGTTAAGTCTCTCCCGTTGATGGTGATTGGTTGTTGTTGTTGTTGTTGATTAGTTATTCCCACTACTTTCCTCTTCTCTGTGTCCATCTGGAGTCCTGTTTTCGTTGCGTCTTCAGCCAGTTTGTTGATTTTCGCCTGCAAGTCTTCGAGTTTCTGTTTGTGACATTAGACAAATACCATCTGAGAAATCCAGATCTTCTAGAGTGTTCTTATCGGTTGTTCAGCGTATTCCTGTCTCCTCGCTCCCAAAGCAGAGTCTGACGCATAATCTAGTCCACCACAACTAAGGATACCATCGGTGACAATAGGCAGCCAGCCAACCATCCAGCCAGCCAGCTTGTCTTACTCCTGTATTGACTTAGAATGCCTCGCTGATTGCCGTTCCCGTTGTGGATCACCTGTCACGTTAACTCATTGCCATATAGCCAACTGTTGAATGAGGTTGATAAAGACTTGGGGAGCTGCACGCCGTAGTGCTGAAGTACTCTCCAAAATACCTCTCGGTCAACGCTGTGGAAAACCTATTCGAAGTCGATGAATTTAGCCAGAGGTTCGACTGCCATTCTATGCTTTGTTCTGTGATGATGATGATGATGTGTAGAGTTGCAATTTGATCAGCACATGATTTGCCTTTTTTGAATGCATCTTCCGGGAGGAGTTCTGTATCCAGATGCCACTGTAGGTCTCAATATATATTTATGCTTAATGGCAGAATAGGTTTTCAGATCTGTGACAGCTATCTACCTCGGAGTATAAACGTTATACCACCATAAGGCTCATGGTCAAGTTCTGTAGTTTGACAAGCGTTCGTGTTTTTTTCAGAATCAGTCACATACCACACTGCTTCTAATCCGTCCAAATACATCCACAAGTCGCGAAAATGAATAATATATCGGTGCCTATGAATATATAATTTTCAAATATATATTTTACTATAAATCAAAGTGTACCTACAGTCAACACTTACAAATAATCTCTGTTTTAATGAATCCAGAGTAGATTTGATCTTTAATAACAGGACTTGTAGCAGCACAACCAAAACTTGCTGTATTATCAGCCTCTGTTAATTGCCATATCAACTCTGTTGACTGGACTGATTGTGTTATATTCTCTAGCATATGTTTCACATTCTGTGAATTCGACTGTAGATAAGAAATATTTCCGTTGTTTAAGTGAAGAGTTGTACGATAAAAGTGAATCATCGGTTTTGGTTTACCCCCATGAACATGACAAGTGAAATTGACCTTAGTTTGAGGTTTGTAAGGTCCAATCGGGTGAACAGTGAGATTTAAATGCGTCGGAGGATCTGTATGGCATTTTTAAAAGGTATTTAAAATACATTATAACAAATATGTTACAAAAATAGTTATCAGTGTACCAAATAGTATTGATATTTTACATTTAATTCTGCACAAGAGTTATTACTAAATTGCTAAAACGATTCATGTTAATTTCCGGATAAATATAAGTGAAAGTAAGTCACTGGTGTAATTAGAATTCACAGTCTTTAAATTAGTTCATGACTTGCAATTAACACAGTTTTAAGTGAAATCTCATCATAAATGCTTTTTTTAAATGGAAATTATTCAAATCGCAACACATATATGATCTTAATTTCGAATTCGACTCAACCCATTCACCCAACTAGCCAAACAGAAAATTGGATGGTTCGAAATGATCCGGCTCTCTGAACTGAGTTAAAAACAGGGGGACATGGCTTATGGACTCTGCTCCAAACAAAAATGAAATGGTCGTCTGGTACAATAGATCAATTAATTCTGTCTAGCAAACCTTACTGGTTGATATGAGTTGTATCCACTAACTCATGCCATTCAGTCAGTCAATGAATCAGTTGTATACGGCGTCATGAGTCTTTGGTGTAGATGTTAAAATAATATTATCCTTATCTTTATCGATCTTCTTAGTTTTACTCATAGTACTTTATTGTGTTATTACAAAAATGTTGACTGACTCATTAGCAAATTTACTTTTTTACAATAAACTTCGTTTTTCCAGGATATTTATTTATATACAAATAAAAAAAACTTGCCTAGTTTACTAGGTTGCGAGTTATTTTGGTCAGTCCTGAGATAGGCAGAAGAAGAAAGGATGACCGTGAGGCACGCTACCCTACCCTAGAAAATCAATCAAACTGCCACAGAAACATCAACGCACAAAAAAAGTATTAAAAACACGAAATATATATTTTTTTCAAAAAGACTTTCTTTATTGAATTGAATTTTTGATTTTCCCGTCGATTGATTGGACCGAAGTGCTCGGTCTCAGGTTGACATGTCGGCTTCTTGTGCAGATGCTTCGACGATGTCTGGGTATTTAATTAGTATACAATTGGTGGATGGTGGCTAGCAGTGGAATCCAGGATAACGCGCATTTCGTCCTATTTGGGACTCGTCAGTGAGTGATGGTGTTCCCACTGAGGCTCGAACCCAGTGCCCACAGTAGGAACACCATCACTCACTGAGAAATGCAGGTACATCCAGATGACGAGTCCCAAATAGGACGAAATGCGCTTTATCCTGGATTCCACTGCTAGCCACCATCCACCAATTGTATACTAATTAAATACCCAGACATCGTCGAAGCATCTGCACAAGAAGCCGACATGTCAACCTGAGACCGAGCACTTCGGTCCAATCAATCGACGGGAAAATCAAAAATTCAATTCAATAATAATATCACCCGTTGCACAAGAGGTGGCTCTCGAGGCCCGAGTGGTCTAGTGGATAACGCTTTGGCGTTTGAAACTATGAGTACTGGGTTCGAGCCTCGGTGGGAACGTCATCACTCACTTAGAAATGCAGGTACATCCAGCTGACGAGTCCCAAATAGGACGAAATGCACATCCTGGATTCCACTGCTAGCCACCATCCACCAATTATAGACTTATTCTTTGCTGGAATTGGAGAGACGAAGTGAAGCGGACTGGTGAAAGTCTTCGGGAAGCCAGTCACCTGGTATGTCTTCTTTCGATGAAAGCAAAAATAAGAACGGCAGCGTGGAACATAAGTACAATGTACAAAGTTTGGAAGGCTGTCCAGATTGCCAAAGAAATGAGAGGATATGGCTTAGAAGTGCTAGTAATCTATGAAAGCCAGCGGAATGGAAGCGAGCTTTCCGAATTCTTAACTGGTGAGTCAGTGATATACTCCGGTCTGGTCAGCTAGACGATAGCCATGAGCACACTGAGGCAGTGAGTGGCTATCATGATGTCACCAATGGCAGAAAAAGCTTTTTATGCCGTGGGAATTAATCTCCTCAAAGAAAATAACAGTAAGATTCAGGTGAAAAGAAGGGATGGCTACAGTTATCCAATGCTACTCACCTACAAACGATTGATAATATGAGAAGAAGGAAGATTTCTATGTAAAACTGCAGACGGCGTTCGAAGACATCCCAAATGAGGACATCAAAAAACTGATGGGTGATATAAACGCTAAACTTGGAGCAGACAATACAGGAAGAGAACTCATTATTAGTCAAGAAGCTCAAGGCAAAATTAATCGGAACTCGGGATTCTTCACAGGTTTCTGAGACTTCAATAATTTGGTGATTGGAGGACTTCAAGTAAACACAGAGAAGACGAAGGTGATGAAGATAATCAGTTAACAACAATATGCACCAACCAATGTCAACTGACAAAAATTTGAAAGAGGTTACTCCACACGCTTATCTAGGGAGCATCGTTTCAACCATAGGTGGAGCGAACGATGATGCCAATAACAGGATGAAAAAGTGGTAAAACAGATATCCATCACTCTCAAATCAGTTTGGAAATCTTCTTGACTCAACATAAAGGAAAAAAACCGGGATTTAAAAAACATCACTTTCAAGTCAGTTGTTCTATATGGGTCAAATATAGGGAGAATCACATAAAGCACTTTGAGCAGGCTACTGAAAACCTTAATCAACAGCCACTTCATACTGAATATCAGGTAGCTAGCCAGAATGGATTAACAACAGGAAACTGTGGGAACCAACCGACCAATCAACAACCTATCGCTCAATAAATACGACAGGGAAAATAAATACTGATCAGATACATCCTGTGAAGATCACTGGGTGCCTCGTGTTCCAGGTAGAACCTTGACTGAAGCCCAATTAAAAAATAATGTGTGGGTTATCGGAGTTAATGCATTGAGAAAGTGTGAGACTATGAAAAACCCGGGTGCCACCTGAAGAGGACCATAGAGGATAGGAAATAAATGCAGACATGCTGTTGAAACCTTATATTCTGCTTTCCCCCCAAAGGAACATTATATTATTATGTACTCGTCGCCAAATTATTGCTATGTACTGGTCGAGAATTTAATAGTCCTGACACAAGAAAGACGGAATTCAGAAGACCACTAGGTTTGAGATGATACTTCTATTTTCCAAAACACCAGGAGAATCAATAAGTGGTATAACACCAAAAAGGTCACACAAGATTGTGAGAGGGAAATATATATGAATGTCCAGACAAGTGTGTGAACAAATCAATAGACAGTCTTAACATGAATGGCTAATTATAATGGAGTGTCGATCCATATATACATAGCAAAATATAGCAGACATGACAACAACCACACATATAATATGGATATATGTTACCAAGCAACGGACTGTCAACAAACACTCATATTATATATAATATAAGGGGAATATACATTGGTAAAGGCGACAGGTTCATCAAAGTGAAATGGTCACAGACTAAGCGAGCAAACAGAAAGAGAGACCACCATATATATATATATATATATATATATATATATATATATATATATATATATATATATATATATATATGTACTGAAATGCTTTAAGATATCTCAACCCTACTTTTTAATTCACTATGACATACTTTCAGCATTATTTACAGGGGTGATTTTTGATAAACAAAACTGGTTTTATGAAATTCTACAAGTTTTATGTATACAGAAAAAAGGAAAATCACAAAATAAGACAGATCCACGTTATTCTTCACCTATGTTCATTTGTTCTATCTTTCCAAATTTATAAAGGCGAATTTCTTTAAAAGGGGATACGTTAAGTCGAAACTATATACTTACACTGCTACTACTTTAATCGCAATTTATCTTGCCTCCTAGAAATGAATCAGCTACCACCGATTCGCGGAACTGCTAAAAAAACCAAAATTTGCAACCCCGAAGACGTGTGTTGATTATCGTAATAAAGTGTTATGGAAGATGATGAATAGTTGAATGCCTTACAAATTCAAGTTGCAACAGACCACTGGGATTCAATTTGAATAAGCGCAAATGCTTAGTGTCATCTATACTGTGTTTTATAAGACCTTATATACTATCATCATTTTTTGGTCACGGATTGATATCAGCTACAGAACCATTGAAAACCAGGGAGTACTCAACAGCTGCTGTTTCATCCTAGTTTGGGAATCATCATCAGTACGCACCCACTAGAGTTCAAACCCAGGATCTCCTGGTTACAAGGCAAGCTGCCTCGTATACCATTCAGCCATTGGGACTCAATTCAATGTCTCATGAATTCTAACTTCTACCAGTTCGTGATTTAGCGCAACCCCAACCATTGTCGTAGGTGTGACATCCATCCTCACACGTGACATTTGGATGGATATCACTGGTCACGACTTCTCAGTAGAACTCCAGGAAACTCTAGCTGGTATCAATCCGTGATCAACTAGTAAAAATAAAACTAACCCTTACAAACCCAAACTATATATAAAATTATCATTAATAATAGCAGTAAGCAAAGACTTTCTTCCTAAGTGGACCTCAAAATCTAAAGTGCTTGTATAATGCTGTCTGTTTAACGCCTGAGTGTAACATGCCATTGCAGTGAATAACTTCACGTTTATATATTGATACACTACTCTTCATTTCTGCAGTTCGATTCTAGCACATGATTGTATGTGAAGCGAAAAATGTTGGCCACGGAAGGACTCGAAATAATGGCTCCTGAATTCTCAAGAGTTTATTTGTAGGGATTTGATTTGTTTCATGTTCACCCAAGGATTAATGTCAGTTAGAGAGAAGCACTGAAATCCACCCGGGATTACTGGACGGCTGTTTTGTACTAGCTGGAAAGTCATCGTCAGTGCTCACCCATCAGGTTTCGAACCTAGGACCCTCTGAATTACAAGTCAGGGACTCTAAGAATCCAGCAATGGGAACCAACTGCTAATTACATCATCGTTTCACCGAAATCACTACTTGAAATGCCCAGATTTTATGAGAGTGGAGGATACATTACTAACTGCCCAGCTAGACATTCTCCTGTTAGACTTCATCGTGGTGAGTCATTGAGATAGAAGAAGGTGGTTAAGTGACAGTGAGGCTATTTAAGATAGACTCACTATCCTTTGTCAGTAAGGGATAAATTTACTTCGGCCAAGATATTTTTATCAGGCACAATTTCACCTAGTCAAAAGTGAATAAATTACAAACTGTTCTGAAATAAATTTTCCGAATTTAAAATTTTTTTTATCAAACTTAAAACCTAAAAAGTTTTTCCAAGCATAAATTACTTACGAAAAACACTTAAATGTAGACGTCTAATTGCTGGGTCTTTTGTAAGTTTCATCATTTTGCCTGTAGAATTACCGATTTTTGATTCTACAATCTCAGATTTCTCCCACCATTCATCGTTTACTGCATTTGAACTAGACTGTAATATGCGACAAGTGTAAATCCCGTCGTCAGTTGGTTGTATAGATATCAGTGTTAACACGGAGATCGTGTCAGATAAACGTAGAGTAGAGTGTGCTAGAGGCAGCGGACTTCCAAGACGACGCCATACAAATGAATACCATGGAGCATTAGGACTAGGAGCAGCTTCACATGTTAACTTGACATTATCTCCAGTTGAAACAGGACTAGGTGGACTTGAGGTTAGTGATAAAAGAGCAGGTCGATCTATAAAATAGTAATATAAAACAGAGGTGCATAAGATAAACACTCAGTGGGAGACTTCTTTGTAGACATAATATAATGCGTCGATTGCTCGCTACCATGCACATGGTCCGGGGTTCGATCACGGACATAAACATAATATAATCACATAGCATTACTGACAACTATAAATGTAATTAAATGCTCACCATTTTGAATCTTAATTTGCCATGAAGTTAACAGACCTTAAAAATTGAGAAATGTGGCGACATTTTGAAGAAGTGTTTCAGTTTTACGATTCATAACACTATTGAACAACTTTCCTAATAAATATAAGCGTGAAATCTGAAGAGCCTTCCAAAATGAATAGGGGAACTTTCATACCTAGTGCATCGGTTGCCCAGAGGAAGAATGCTCGCTAACCACGCTGCATGTGGTTTGGAGCTCAATCCCTGGTCGACGTTCTCCTTTACATAGCTAAACCAGTAATGCGACTGGTAAAGAGGGAAGGTTGAGCATGAGGCTAGCAATTACAGCTTATCAAACACTAGTGTGCTTAAAGGCAGCTGTCAACGTGGATCTTATTAAAAAGCAACACCAATTATAGATCACCGTAAACCATGGTGCACTAGTCAGTTGTTTCAACCATCCTCGGTACTCTTCATCTGCGCGCATCCATGACCCCAGCAAGGATCGACCCTCGGACCTTCAGATTACGAGGCTAAGCTTTTTGACTATTTAGCCAGTTTGGCTGAGATTCAACAACTCGTGAATCCTATCTACTGCCTATGACGTACATAGATCTACCCTAAATCGATGCCTTCAGTGACATCAGTTTGACACAGTAGATCTCACTGTCCACGACTCCTCAGTAAAACTTCAGGACATCCATCCAGTAACCACCAATGAGCTGAAGATTGATTTTTACGATTGTGAGATTTTGTAAAGATTTGGGTTAATTTCACAGAGCACTACACAGCCTTATTTTTCAAGTTTGCGAACTGATGAAGAGTCTCATGGTAGGACGAAACGCCAGTCCAATGATCCCTGGTTTCCAGTGATCTCTTGCTGCTGCTGATTCTTGACAGGATCAGTGTACATTATCTTGCTGCTTCGTTGACCGACGCCAATGTTCAATCAAATGTGCACTACGTCGTTGTAAAAAATTTGAAAGCAAATACATATCTGGAAAAGTCTCTCGTAACTTTCAAATCGTTAGATAATTAATATGTAAGTACAGTCAGTTTTAACAGTGTGAAACCATAATACTACCATTGGTTAAACCTAGGATCTTCAGATAACAAGACACATACATTATCATTTGTGGCATTTGTGGTTTGGCACCCAGTAGCTCATTAGATTAAGTTTTTTATCGGCTTGTGAGAGACTATCTATCCTCACACCCAAGTTGATGTATCCCACCACTGATGACTCCTCAGAACTCAGAGGGTATGAAGTTGAGATATTTGAAAGAATAAATGCTATGGAAAGTCATGAAATTAGATGACAAACTTTATGTTGAAAACTGTTCAGATTTTATAATAGCAGCATAATAACTTTGAATTTATTACATTTGTGTCTTCAGGTGACTAGGAAGGAGATCACGATAAAAATCAAAGTTGAATATATGGACGAATGTAGCAAAGGATCCCCACGTTATGTAGTAAGGATCTGCACAAATTATCTGAAAATAATCCGATTATTCTGAAGTGTTTAATAACAAGTACTTAATGGAATTAACATTTACTTAATGTAATATCTATCCCAATACAGGTTTTTCAGTATTCACTATTTATTGCATAACCTTTTTGATGTGGTTGTATTCTCCGAGCTGGATAGTAAATTTTCTAACCTTTCATCGCCCTACCAGGCGACATCTTTAGTGCATACTTCAATTTGTTGAAATGAGCTTTAAGATTTTTCCACGAGTCTATTAATCATCTCGCCTGGTGACTTGAACTTGAAGGTCATTCGTTGTTTTTGTGTGTTTTCACACCTTATAGGCAGCTACTTGTATTGGAACTGATTGTTTCTTTGACTTGAACTTTGAAAATTTGTGTGCGAGGATTCTTTCTTATCGGTTGATAAATTTTGTCTATCTCGATGAGTCCACTGATTGGTGATTCACTGGAATACCAGGTAGGCTTCTAAAAATTCTCTAGCATTCTTGTTGTTTCCTCTGTCTAATATTTGAACACTGGTTGTCTCAGTCGAATTGATGTCCGTGGTTGTCTGTATGTAGTGAGGCGATATGAAGGAGTGGATATCATATCTTTTGACGGTTAGCTTATGTTCATGGATACGAAGACGAAGGGGACGTCGACTTTGGCCAATGTACTGTTTTTCACTGTTGTTACAATTCATTTTGTAGATGATGTTGATTTCATCTTCTTTCGTTGTTGAGACTTTTGGTCGACATAGAATTGAGTGAAGTGACTTTGTTGGTTTGTATACGACGTCAATTCCTAAAGGTTTGAAGAGTCTTGTAGTGATTTCTGAGATATCCTTTATATATGGTGAGGCGATTTTCTTTGTGCTCTTCTTGGTTGGGGCTTTTGGTTTGATAAGTTAGGTTGGGGGGTTATGTCTTTTGATGAAATTCTGCGGATATCCATTTTTTTGGAAGATTTCCATGAGATATTTTTCTTCAATTTTGTTTAAGGTAGGAGTGCTGCAATGAGTCCTTGCCCTCTTGAATAGTGTCCGTATGCAATTCCTTTTGTGTATTATTGAATTGTTGCTGTTGTAATTGAGTATTTGGTCTGTGTGAGTTAATTTTCTATAAACTTGAGTTTCTGATTCCCCTGTGTTTGTTCACTTGACTAAGACGTCCAAAAATGGGACTTCGCGCTGAAGATGTCACCCAGTAGGGCAATGAAAGCTTCGCAAATTAACTATTCAGGTCAGAGAACACAACCACATCAAAATCATCCACCTGAGCTACAAATCTTCTCTAACATATTGTATAACCTAGAATGCGAATTAAGATATATCCGCTGCTTAATCGATACTGGTTTAGTTCAATTCTATTCATATTTTCTAAACCTAGAGTTTTCATAACAAACACAAACATAACTTAAGGAACGTAACACAGTCATGCAAGACGAAGATAGATTTCCTTACGCAGATATCAGAATAATGGCTTAGTTTAGTAACTCCTCAGGTGGATATTTTTGCTGTGGTTAAGTTACCTGAGCTAACTGGTTTAACTGTAGAGCTTTCACTGTCTGTCTAAATATCATCATTACTTGTTTCAGTGTGAAGTAAAATTTGAAACGTCGTACAACTTTCGGTACAACAGAAGTTAACAACAGCTCTCAATAGTCCTACTTTGTGTCGCATAAATGCCCAGTTAATTATACGAACTGTAATACTTTGACGTCAATCGAGGTTAGTGCATATTTCAGGATAATTTCTACACCCGGACATGACCACGCCTACACAATGCATACAATTACGCATTTTTTGAAAACATTTTTCTGGAAGTTAACAGCAATGCATATGGCCCTAAACTGTTTATTTTATCTGAACTTATTTTGATATGGATACTTCGACCGATATGTTTTGAAACGAAACCAGGGTTAAAATTAACGAAAAGAATTACCTCGTACAAGAAGTTCCAAACTGTTAGAATGATATCCACCATATGAACAACTCCATGAACCAGTAGAAATGATAGTAGCAATATCCACCTTATAGATAACTTCTTGTAAACGCCACTCTTCTGCATCATCTAAAAATTCTCTAGATTTAGACCAAATTAAATCTGAATTAGATACTATTCTGAACTGTCTAGTACATTGAAATGGCCAGTTAGCATCGACCAGCAAACAATCTTGAGCACAGTAGGCAACACTCATTGGACAGAATAAAAATACTGACTGTTCAGGTTTATGTACTCCTGTCTTTAATGCATATTTAAGACTTGGATCAAAAGTCCATATACGGCATACAAATGTTATGGAGTCACCAGCCTGTATTGTAGTTTGTGTTTGATTTCTAGTGGCTTCATCCCATAGTGCTTCAACAATTATACTATCATTTTTATTGGTGGAGGTTTTCAGTTCTAAATGCTGTGATGTAACATTTTGATCTTCATGAAAAGGATATACCATATTGCTGCAGCAGTGTAGTACTGAAAAAAAGACACATGAAGAAGTGATCAGAGGAGATAATATATATTTGGTTCAAGTAACATTATTTGTATCAAACAAACTGCAGAAATATTCATTCAGACATCTATAAAACACAAACTAATTGAGCAAAGAATATCCTTTTCGATAATTTCCCCTTCTCCCTCTACAATTATATATATATATATATATCTTTATTTACATAGAATATTCTAGATTTTTTCCTTCACGTTCCCATAGGGCTTCAATCTAGTGTCTTGAAGTTTCTGTGGCAGTGTTTATTTTACAGGATGGGGTAGCTAACCTCATGCCCAACCTTTCCTCTTTACCAGCATTATTTCTGGCTTAGCGGGGTAAAAGAGTGAATCGTCGGCCGGGGATCGAACCCCGGAGCATTTGCATAGTCGGCGAGCGTCCTAACCGCTGTACCATATAGAATATCCTAGATTAGTAGTCAATTACAATATTAGGGTTTTCTAAATAATATCGATTTGTAAAGTAAGATCAGGGGAATTACAGCTCTTTAAAGATATAATAGTAGTACATAAAATATCAACTAAAATTAGGAAAATTCCACAAAAATTTATGATCACTCAAACCTAGATGGCCAAGGTAATGATAATGTCTGAACTAACTTCTTTTGGACGCACAAATTAGGCTTGTTAATATGGATTTACACATGCTCAGCAATATTTAGTAGTCGAACTCTTAAGGCAAAATTGAGATTCGTAGATATGCGGTAAATGACCCTGAAAGCATGGTTAACGTCAATCTTGTGTTCTGTAACGACAAGATGAGATAGAATAGCGCTCCGAATAGATTTTGTTTGTCCTTTATACTTAACCACTTTTCAGCGTGATTTTCGGAAATTCAACGAGAAACACGCCTGGTTGTACGCCCTATGCAACTAACTGGGTCCACAGGAGCAGTTAAATTGGTAGATACACATGGGAGAGACGAAATTGGGCAGTTTGTCTTTCACTCTCGAACGCAAATGAGGAGTGGTTTTGAAAACACAGCGTAATTCGGCAGCAGCACTAAATGCTCTGCGTTTTACCGCATTTCTAAGGCGCTATGTTAGTATCTCGCTGTTTTTGTCCCCAAGGAACTACAGTTGTAAGAATAAGGCCTTTTTTTCGAACTGTTGGTAACTTAGGCTGCTTTGATTTTAGATTCATATTCTTATCAATAGATTTTTCTGGATGACCATTTTATATTATTAAGTTCCTCATCAAGACATTCGTCGGAGCAAATCGCTCTTTTGTTTTTATATTTATGTGCGGATCCTAATCAAATTCACCGGATAAAAAAATGATCATATTTGTCAATTGTTGGTTAGTATCGATGTGATTGGCTACAGGGTTGATCACGATCAGACATCAGTTTAACGAGCCATTGAAAAACCCGGGAATACGGGGGGTCTGACTAATCCTAGTTTGTGACTCTTTGGAAGTATGCACCCGGTAGGGTGCGAACCCAGGATCTACCGGTTATGATGCGAGCTCGTAGACCACAAGCCACTAAGACCTAACCAAATGGTCCGTGAGTTCCAACCTCTGCTAATTTTTGATATATATATATATATAGTGCAACCACCATCCAGTGCACATACAAATTCTTAGCAACCCTGAAGTAATCATCTTGATTGAATGTAGTTCCGCTGACAAATTTTAAACTAACTTCAATTACTTTCTGCATGAGAACAGGATAAAATGCAGATGTACTGATAATGCTCTGCGTTCCACTGAGAGCCCAAGAGAATATTGATAATGATAAACTCTGTGCATGAACGATAGATGGGAAAACTGCAGGTTTAATACTTTTTCCTCGCTAATTGCACTAAATATGTCTGCTGAGTAAACCGGAATGATAAGCGTAATTCCCTTAAATTCCGAGATGAACCTGTGATCTTATTCAAGTTCATAGAAGCAGTATGTCATAATGTTTGTGTGTTATTAGTAACCCCTACAAGAATCGAATTCAGGACCTTCAGGTTACGAGACCAAACTCAGTGACAATTCAGCCACTTGAGTCGGAATTCAGAGGCCTCTGAATGCATGTTACGAGTTGACAAAGTTCGAATTTACTAGTCAATGAATTACAACTCAAGTGACAAAATGGTCAATGAGCTTTGTCTCATAACTTGAAAGTCGTTGGTGTGATCCTTGTCGGAGTCGTGGCTGCCCAGTGAAAAAGGTTTCCAGTGCCCTTTGGTTTCTAGTGATCCCTCTAACTGATGATAGCTTATGACGGAAATCTAACAACTGAAAAAATGGTTAGTTAATTGAAATACAAATTCAATCTCTAAATCTCTTAAATGTATTCTTCCATATAATTTTAAACTTAACAATGCATGTGTTCACTTTCGCTACCATATCAAAAATTATGCTCTTCAAAACATACAGAATGGCAAATATTGATAGAATGTCACCCAGTAGCCGCTAACGGATATTTTTTGTTTGTAAAAGTGCTTTCTGATTATGCGATTGAAATTCCTTCTCAGTGTGACTGAATAAAGTAATCTGACGAGTCGTGACTAGCAATGGAATCCAGGATGCGCACTCACTCCCAAGTACAGGGTTCGAGTCCCAGTGGAAATACAGTCAGTCGCCTTGAATTGTAGACTTTTCCAGCCAATACGCCCCAAATAGGGTGAGATGTGCATCCAGGATTCTACTTCTAGACACTATCCACCAAACGCCTGTATGTTAATTCTCAGACATTGTCGGAGAACCGTACTAGGAACCAGTATGTCTACACAGGTTGAACATTCTGGCTAGACCAACCAATGAGCGAATCAAAAGTGACTAAAACAAATGCTGACTGAACAGAATTTATTCCTTGTGCCAATTATATTATTTTATGATATTTAAATTGCTCAACAAATATGTCGAAGAAAATTGAGGTGTATCGGACATACTCTGAGGAGATCGTCAGATGACATCGAACGCCATGCAGAACCTCGATCGGAACCCGAATTGGGAATGGAAAGTTGGGCATGATTGGTGACACGGAGGATATCGTGTGAGGAAGAGACAAGCGGCTATGGGCGAATATATGAACAGATAAAAAGGGATCACAGAGAATAGAACAAAGTGGAGATGTGTTGTTGAAGCCGTATGTTCCACTCGAAGTCCTCGGGAACAATACTAAGTGATAATCTCATATAAATTTAAGCCTGCAGTCCACAACATTTAAAATTTATGTGGAAAAACAGGTGGGGATTATTTTTCGGTAAGTTATCAGTTATCCCATCATAATCTGATGGACAGATAGAAAAATTTATATATGTTATTATACACATGTCAGAAGCAGAATTTGTCGCTCGATTAAAACACAACATATGTCATGCAGAAAATACAAAACAGAAAGCCTGAGAACATCAGTTAAAGGAAACTGAACACATTTTAAATGCTACAGACAACATACTGCAGGCTTGACACATTGGTGTAGTGTAAGTCTGGTGACTTCTCTCATTTCATTCTGACAATAAGAGTCCTAACAGATTGTTATACTTGTCAATTTGATGTCCACACTGAATTTTGATCGTAATTTAGAAACTATTTCAACACTATGGAATGTCCTGAACCTTTATCAAACTCATTCAAAAGCTAACCAACAATACCACATACCCAGTGAACCAAAACAGAAAATCCTAAGAAGTCATGTGATGTGAAGACAGGAGTAAGACAAAGCAGCTTCCTACTATCTCCAGCAATATTCCTGTTCGTGATAGGCTGGACTGTATGGCCCCCGTGAGTGGGGAGCGCAAAGGCAGGAATACGTCGAACCGATAAGAAGATTCCAGAAGATTTGAACTTCTTGGATGATATATGTCTACCGTTACACAAATTCGAAGGTTTACAGGTGAAAGCCAACAAGTTGATAGAATAGGCTGGCAGCAAAAACACGACTTCAAGTTGACAGTGAAAGGTAATCAACCAACCGATAACAAAAACAACCAGCATCAATTACTAACAACATAGAAAATGTAGAAGAGGCTTTCACCTTATCACTTATCAAGGCAATTCCATTTCGTCTACAGGTGATAGCCAAAACTAGAATATGAATAGCAAAACAGACCCTCATCACCATGATGAAATCAGCTTGGAAATCTTCTCCGCTCAGTCAGCATTTGGAATGAAATTCGGATTATTAACGCAAGTGTTAAATCACTTCCTCTTTGTGGTACACTGACTTGGTGCGTTAGCAATAGCATTTCCGACAGGCTTGTGCAAAATTTAATCAACACCTATGGTCGCTTCATACTACATTTAAGTGGCCAGAAACGATATGCCACATGTAAATTTGTATATACAGTTTGAGTCAATATCAGAAGGATATCTATAAATTTTTGATTGCACGAAAGAGCAATTTGTTCGATAGGCGGAGAAGAGCTTAGCTCCAGGATAGGCTTCAGCTAGTGACGTCTTCAATCTTCTGTTTACAGTTGCTGTAATATTTTCACCTTTATAATCAAGCTGAATGTGGATTGGCTTTTTATCCACTGTGATTTATTTTACATCTGTGACTTCAGATCTTCCATACTTGTTGATGAACCTTTGAGGGTACCCACTGCTCTTCAAGATCTTTTCAAGAAACTCAAATTCTTCCTCTAATTTGTCTATAGAGCATATTATCCTCGCTCTATATTACAGAGTCTTGACTAGACCACATTTAAAGCTAATTGGACAAAAGCTTTTAAAATGTAAGTATTGTTCTTTCCATGTAGGCTTTCTATAAATTGACTTCTAAAGACTACCGTCTTCTAGGCGTTGCATGGCGCTGTCGAGGAAGTGAAAATTTCCGCCACTTTCATGTCCCATAGTAAACTCAATATTGGTGTGTGCATCATTGAATAATCTGAGTAAGTGTGAAGCATGACTTTCATTGTTGCACACATTTATAGTGTGCAAAGATGTTGCAGAGCAATGGGTACCCTCAAAGGTTTATCAACAGTTATGGAAGATCTCAAGTGACAAATGTAAAACAAATCACAGTG